GCGTCCTGCCCGCTCGCACTGCCGCGCCAGGCCCTGACTGCCTGCTCCGTTCACCACAGTCTTTCTGGACCCCTGTGCCAGTGCACTGTCATCCTCACAGCGAAAAAGGTTTTTCTTGTTTATGCAAAATTTCTGGTTTTGTCCATTGTCTCTTGGCCTGCCACTTGACAGCACTGGGAAGCTTCTGGTTCTATCCTTTTTACACCACCCCCACCCCTTCCCCTATTTATACATTCCTCTTCTCCTGAACAGTCCCAGCTCTCTCAGTTTCTACTCAAATGTCATATACTTCATGCCCTTAATTATGTCGGTCACCCTTTGCTGGACTCACTCCAGCCTGTCCTTGTTCCTTGTGTACTGGGGAGCCCAGCACTGGGCCCAGAACATCAAATGTGGCCTCCCCAGTGCTGAGTACAGGGCAAGGATCACCTCCCTCGTGCTGCTGGCAACGCTCTTTCGCACCCAGCCCAGGGTGCTGCTGGCCTGCTTTATCAAGACACAGAAAAAGACTTTTTCTTGAGTGTAATACGTAGGAAGGACTTTTGCACCTTAAGGGATTACAGATTCCACAAGTTTCCACATGGATTTAAGATTTTCTGCACACAAATCTGCAGAAAAGAAATCCATTGAGGATTATTAAACACAAAAAGCTACACTTTCACAAAAGTCCCTGAGCTTTAAAACCTGACGATTTGGATGACGTATGACTGTGTGCTTCCTCTATACCTAGGCTCCAAGCATCCCTTTCTGACTACTGCTGAAGCCATTAGGCTAGGCAGACCCTTGGTCTGATGCAAGGCTATTCCTAGGCCGGACAAAACGCCACATGAACTGTACAGTGTCTTGTCTTACACCCACTGCAGTCATGTAACAAGTTTCTCAATTAATCTGACTATGAAAGATCATAGAATCACAGAATGGTTTGGGTTGGAAGGGACCTTAAAGATCATCCAGTTCCAACCCCCCTGCCATGGGCAGGGACACCTTCCACTAATCCAGGCTGCTCCAAGCCTCATCCAGCCTGGCCTTGGACACTTCCAGGGATGGGGCATCCACAGCTTCTCTGGGCAACCTGTCCCAGTGCCTCACCACCCTCTCTGGGAAGAACTTCTTCCTGATGTTCCATCTAAACCTCCCTGCTTCCAATTTAAACCCGTTACCCCTTGTCCTGTCACTACAGACCCTTGTAAAAAGTCCCCCCCAGCTTCCTTGTAGCCCCTTCAGGCACTGGAAGGTGCTATAAGGTCTCCCCGGAGCCTTCTCTTCTCCAGGCTGAACAAGCCCAACTCTCTCAGCCTGTCCCCATAGCAGAGGGGCTCCAGCCCTCGGAGCATCTTTGTGGAATAACTATATTTAAATAACACTGTTAAAAAATAATTACAACCTCAGAACTTGTTTCAATTAAGCAGTAGGAACCTGAAGAAAAATACAATGACGATTTTACCTCGTATCTCAATCAATGAACTCCCAAACTCAGAATGGCAATTAGAAGTAAAATATTTCTGAGTGTACAAAGATCTTTCAGTTTTTCAGCATTCTTTCAGTGCAAGACAGACATGTTCAAGCACCCAGATGTAGCCGCCAGGGCAACAGTATCACAATTAAGCAGTAGGAACCTGAAGAAAAATACAATGACGATTTTACCTCGTATCTCAATCAATGAACTCCCAAACTCAGAATGGCAATTAGAAGTAAAATATTTCTGAGTGTACAAAGATCTTTCAGTTTTTCAGCATTCTTTCAGTGCAAGACAGACATGTTCAAGCACCCAGATGTAGCCGCCAGGGCAACAGTATCAAAGACAAAGAATAATAAAAGGACAGAGATCATAATTAAACAGGCTGATGTTTTATTGATCTCCAGAAATTTCCATACCATCCACATTAATGATCGGATTTTCCAGATACTTGACACATTCATGAATTTGTAAAGCCTGTTCAAGAATCTCTTACCTTATGTGTCAGTTCAGACGTATTTCATAATACAGTCCTACAATTATCCCCTCAATGTTTTGTATTTTCGCCTCTCCTTTGATACCCAAGGCCTCATATAGTTTAAAGTACAACCATATAAAAAAAAAAGTCTCCAAAGTATGTGTACTATTCCCACAGGGCACAAATGACGTTCCTAAAATCCATTCATTCACGCTAGAATGTATTTCATAAATGGCAGGAATATGTAATGGGACTTACCAACCAACACCATATAACCATACGTTAATCAACAGACAGCACACTGGATAAATGAAGCAATCTTCGTTATCAACAGATGGTAAGTTCTAGCAGATGCTATTTTATACGTTGCAAAGGATAAGGACAGTGTAACAAAAATGTTCAAACAGCAGTTGTTACTTCATAAGAAAATACCACGGCATGGAAATCTGCAAGAATATTTTTTAAAAATCTCTATTTACATATAGTCTAGTCATCAAATTTAATCTTTTTCCCTTGGAATGCTGTAATTTGAGACATTTGTTCCCGCCGCCTCTTGCTTGCTTCCCATGACGGATGAAGAGGCTGCTCCAAACATGCCGCCTTCTTGTCCGCAGCTTTTGAAAATGGTTGCTTCTTGTGCTGTGGTTCCTTTTTAAGAAGAGCTGTGCAAGAAGTACAAAATACAACCTTAACTACATCACGAACCTTCATAAAAATATGCTAGAACTACCTTGGGATTGGAGACTTTCTCACTGAGCCAGGGGGAGCACACTCATCTGAATGTTCCCGGCAAGATTTCCTCATCTTGCACCCCAGTAAATTGTCACTTGGTAGACTGCAGACAGTTAGGATTTATTATTACTGCCCACATTCAAAATTTATGTAAATAAATATTCAGCAGTCTCAACTTTCTTATTCACAATAAACCAGAGAGATATTACACAGTGTAACTCAACGTGACTGAAATGGTATCCTTGATCCAATGGATTGCAGAATGGGACCACAGACTATAAATGGAATGAAATATTGAAGGAGCTATTGAAGGAATTATTCACAAGATAAACAATTTGTTAAATGTCATAATCTGACCCTTGTACCTCTGCACATGTAACACTAACTGCTCAACATGAAGACAGGTGTAAAAGCGGTAAAAACTGAAATGAAACAAAAACCAGCCTATCATGATTAGACTCCAGAGGCAACAAAATCTCAAGATGTTTTTTACGCTTATAACTTTAGCAGGTTAAGTAATACATACCTGTTCTTCCATTTTTGAAAGGCTGGTCCTTAGTATTTCTAAAAAGAGAAAGATAATTTAGGATTTTTCAAGAATCTCATAAGGTGACAAACACCAGTGAATAAAGAATCATCAACACCAAAACACGCATGCAATGGCTTTTCAAGCATAATGTTCAAAACCGTTATATATTGTTTCATCTTTGATAATAAAGAAGTAAATATGGAAATATTCAGTAGGGATTTAATTTGGATGCAGGTCTAGGTAGGAATCCTACATCAGTGCTAATGTGAACATGAAAAATATGTAAGTGACAAGAAAACACAGGAAGACCGCAGCTGTTTATGTGAAACTTAAAATTCTCCATGTTTGGTAAGGGCTAGTAAAAATCGCAACAATTTGCATTACTGGTAAGAAGGGAGAGAACGGAGAGCGTAACAATGGGAAAAGGTTTACCTTCTTATGTTTTGAGATTTCTGATTAGAGGCAGACAAAGAACTGCAGAACATTGATTCTATCTTGCTTGCTTTTGCATGTGGCGTTCCCTCTCTCACGGCCGAATCTTGCGTTGTCCCAGGCGCTGTGCTCTTTTCTTTCTTCACTATGTTTTTCTGAAGTCTGTCCTTTTCTTTTGCTGAAGAAGGATCAGCAACTGCTGCTACCTTTTTCTTTCTTTTTACTTTGCCAATGAAGAAATCATCGCTGCTGTCACTGTCAGAATCTGATGACTGGTTATAAAACCTCTCTTCAGTACTGTCATCAAAGTACTCTTTTTCACTAGGACATTCCTGGTCACTATCATCCTTCATTATTTCTTTCACTGCATTTAATTTGTTCATGCTCATATTTTCTTTCTTTTTCTGATAGCCAAGTTTTTTTCCTGTTTTATTCGGAGTGACTGCTTGCATTCCCACTGCCTGAAATGAAGCTTCTTCTGGAGCATATGCTGCCTGTATTTTCACAGTTTTCTGCTCAGACTCACCCTCACAAAGTTCTTCAGCCTCCCTGTCACCTCCTGTTTTCACATGCACTTTTGTTTTGTGCCCACATCCTTGTTGTTTTTGAGCTAGTTTATGAGCTTGGTCATCCAAATTGCTCTTGACGTGTTGCGCTGATTTCGGCTGTTCTTCTGGCTTAGCCTTTTCCGAAGGAGTGGCGTTGGCCGGGTTCTTTCTTGCATCATGAAAAGCTTTTACAGCAGCTATACAAGGGGCATAAGAAGAATCTTTTGTTGCAGCTACACATGAGTTTACATAAATTATTTTAATATAATAAAACATTTTTTGCAAGTTAAATACGTTGTACTGTGTAAGCATATCTTGACTGGCCTTATCAATCATTTACTGAACACAAGTAGCAGGCAAGAAATACCTTATACAGTACAGCATCAACAAAAGTGAGGAAAAGAGCTGAAATTATTACCAACTGAATACGCTGTTAAAGTTGGGTTTAACTGTGAACTTCTTTTTCAGCAAATAATCTGCAGCGGACAGTCATATTGATTTAGGGCATTAATTTGTGTGTAAAAACTGCAAACAATAAATTGCTGAGATATAATTGCATGGATATTTGATGTGCTCTGTTATTAACAAAGTAAATTTATGACATTATTACTAGGACTTGACCCTTTTTAACATCAACTTCAGTTGGAAAACTTGAGTTTAGAGAACAAGAACTACTCTGAAGAACCAGGAAAGATTCTCTAAGGATTCTGGGGACAGTTTCCAGGAAAGTTTAAGGAAGTTATTTGCAAATCGTTTTAACTGTCTTTGGAATGCAGTTGTAATGCTTTTTTTACCTTCGTATCTGCATGTTACTGTGCTCAGCGCCAGTTCAGTCCTATTTAATTTACTCCATTATATCCATTCAATTTTTAGAGTTACCATTATGAGCACTGTTTGTCCTACACCCTCTTAGATGTCATACAGAATACTGTCGTGTATCAGTCCATTTAAACCAACATAAATGACTAAAAGCCTGTGACAATTGGTTCACTGCAGGTAGTTAAGGTAATTACAGGAGCTTTTCAGGTTTTTTACTGTTCTTTTTATATTGGTTGTTCTTGTCATGAACATACCTGTAACACACCAGTAAGCTACTGAAGTCATAAACAAGCTAAAATAATATTTCATACCTTTAAGTTCAACAAATCTGGGTTTCAAGACGGGGTGTGTTGCAAGTCGTGCAATGGCTCGCTCAGTTGCAGTACAATTTGGCTACACAAAATAAATTCAAAGGCACGATGAAGTCAAAAGAACAGTGAATACTTATAAAGATCTGTACCAGTTTTGCTACCATGCAGACAAATGTGATTCAGGACTATTAAATGAATATGAGGAAACACTTAGGACACTACAATATTTGAGTATTTCTTATTTTTTCTGCATTACTCTCATTCTAAATCAGGAAAAATCTGATTGCCCAAACACTGACAGAAATATAACAGACCTGTAACTCTGCTTTTTCTCAGGTGCTGAATAAGGATAACACGATTTTTATTTTAAAAGTATACCAGACAGACCTTTCAGAGCATTCAGTATTTCTTACACGTGCAAAGCAAAATTCGTGAACCCCCTGAATAAAGAACGCCTGTGGTGGATTCAGCCAGGAAAGGG